AGATCTCCAAATTCAAGGTCAGCTAGGAAGAGGCCACTGAGGTGACGTGCCCAGGATTAGCCACGGCAGGATCCGGACGGCCAAGCCACGCTGCCTCTTCACCCGACCTCGGACACACTGCTGCGTCCGACAGCCGCTGCCAGGCTCAACCCCAGCAGATGAAAAGGGAAATTCTGACTTTCCCCTATACAGCAATGGCAGTGAATGTCTTCCCAAGACCCCAGCCGTGGCACAGCATCGCTCCCAGCCCGCTCCCTGGATGGCCACGAGTTGCCTCTGTCCCTCCTCCCACTGCTCCGCAGAAGTCGAAGCCTCACCAGTTGCCTCCAGTCTCATTCACCAAGCCCAGCCTACGCAGCTCCATTTCTTTACAGGTTTCGTTATTCTCCCAAGCTCCTAGGAGAGACGCAGCGTGACAAGCACTAGACTGCGACGCCGCCTGATCGTAGCAAGGAAAAAAAGAAAAAAAGCTCCAAACATAGAAAATGACTTGTGTTGCGATTGATGGCGCATCAGTTGACCGGTGTTTCCACGGCAACACGCATCGGTGTTGTGTTGGCCCTCCTCCTCCTCCTCCTCCCCGGCAGCACAGTCAAGCTCTTTCATTTACGAAAGACTGCGGTACGCGTGGCAGGCTCGGGACGCTGCGTGCCGCACGCCCAGGGTTCTGTCGGCCGTCGCCCAGCAGCCCCTCGAGCGACACAAGCTCGCTGGGAAGAATGAACAGGGCGATTAATTCCTCTCCCTGCCGGAGCGCTGATCCCAACAGCCTTTGTTCGAGCGCTGCAGACACACCAGCAGCACCGGTCTGCGAGAGCTGCCCGGTCTCCCACAGCCCCAGGGTGGCTTCTTGCTTCTGCTGGGCAGCTCAGAGGAGGATGCCTGTGCATGTCGTCTGGCTCACCTTGCGAACAGGCTAACCAGGGACGCGGCCCTGCTCGCACAGAGAGCTGTGTGGGACACCAGTCTGCCCAAAACCCCAAAGCAACGGCCGGATCAGACTCAGGCTGGGTCACTGGCAAAGCGGCGATGCCCTCCAGGCCACGCTGGGGCCGGCTCCCTCCAACCAGACAGCCGGTGTGAGGCACATCGCGTTTACACCTTATCCTCAGCACAGATAAACACCACAGCAGGCAAGAAGCTGAGACTCGGTGAGCAGGTACGGGATTTTCTCTAGCTGGTTAACAGCAGGGGCATTCCCCCTGGTATTGCTCTGTGGGCAGCCTGACCTGCTCTACCTCCCTGATCTTATCCCCAGCGCTACAGAAATATCAAGATCTAGCACTCAATTTTGCCTCCGAAGGGAGCAAAGCTGTCGTTCGCTATTAACGTTGCCCTCTGAAGAAACAAGCCCTTCTACAGCGATGCTCAGAGGCTGTGAAATGGGTAACCCGAGCCAGGTTAACCGATTTGCATAGGAAGGCTATTACAAAGCTCTGATTAAATCTTCACAACCCTCCCACCACGCTTTCCATCCTGAAGACTACTAGGTCAGACTTTCCTTTCATGTTCTTGCCACCCGGAACTGCGATCCAAGCTGAGTTCCAGCTAAACTTTGCAGCACTTCTCTAAGTTTCCCGAACAAAGCCCTTTTCCAGGCAGCTTTGGCTTACGCTCAGACAGAAACCTAACAGAGCCCGTTTGAAGGAAAAGAGAAGAGAAAATGAAAGCAACACACAGATAACTGTAAAGTCATTGAGCTTGGCTGGGCTGGCTTCTGGACAGACACTTCCTCACTTAGGCAATGGATAATGAGTCAACATCACTCCTCTGTGCCATGCATTCACATCCTCACTGGGAAAAACTGACCGTTTACGGTTCCTTCTTCCCCGCCGTGGAAGCCGCAGGGTGTCCTGACGCACTGTCCCCACGGCTCAGGGCCATACACGTGGCCGGGAAACTCCACGCTTCCCATTTGTGCAGAAAAAAAGCGCTTTCTTTTAAATTAGAGAAACGATGGCTCAGCTAAAACCCCCTTCAAGTCCCACCACTCGCACCCAATTTGTCTGGATTTCCACAGCCCCCAAGGTCAAATCCTGGTGCTGGGTCGGAGCAGCAGGGACAGAGGGAGGGACGCTTTGACACCCAAGGCCCACCAACTGTCCTGAAGAGCCTGCTGCCAAGCAAGCAAAGAACACTGCAGTGAGGGCTCTTCACGGGACTCGGTAGGACCAGAACTGTGCACCAGCAGCAGCATCCTGCTGGGGGTGAGCCACCCCTCCCTGACCTGTCCTGGGACCTGGCTGGGGACAGACAGCACCCTGGCAGGATGGTGGGTGGGATGCCATCCCCAGGACCTGCTGGGGACAAGCTGCATCCCACTGGGACAGTGAGTCCAGGACCATCCCAGCTGCGACGCCACCCCCTGCAGTCCCAGGACATGGTGGGGACAAGCAGCACCCTGTGGTGACAGCGGGTCCCACCTCACCCAGCTGCCCCAGGGCCTTCTTACAAAGGCCTGTAGTGACAGCACAAAGGGTGATGGCTTTAAACTGAAACAGAGGAGATTTAGACTAGATATAAGTAACAAATTCTTTACTATGAGGGGGGTGAGGCCCTGGCCCAGGCTGCCCAGAGAAGCTGTGGGTGTCCCCTCCCTGGAGGGGTTCAAGGCCAGGCTGGATGGGGCTCGGAGCACCCTGGGCTGGAGGAAGGGCTCCCTGCCCACAGCAGGGGGTTGGAGTTGGATGAGCTATACAGGCCCTTCCAACCCAAACCATTCCGTGATGCTACAGCCTCCCGGGGCTGGGCAGCACCCCACCAGGGTGGGGGTCTCCCTTCCCCAGCCCATTCCAGAATGCGCAGCTGGGGCAGCACCCCATGGGGACAGCAGGTCCATCCCTTCCCAGTCTGTCCCAGTACGGATAGAGAGCGCAGCACCCCACGGGGACAGCAGGTCCCCTCTCCCCAGTCTGTCCCAGTAGGGATGGAGGGAGCAGCACCCCATGGGGACAGCAGGTCCCCCCCCACCCAGTCTGTCCCAGTATGGATGGAGAGGGCAGCACCCACAGGGACAGCAGGTCCCCCCCTCCCCCAGTCTGTCCCAGTACGGATGGAGGGGGCAGCCCCCCATGGGGACAACAGGTGTCGTCCCCCCCCCAATTCTGTCCCCGTACGGATGGAGGGGGTAGCGGGCCCCCCGCACTCACCCGCAGTCGGGGGCCGGGCAACAGCGGCAGGCGGGGTCGGCGGGG